TAGGAGGCACTTAGGCCCAAGTCCTTCAAAGAAACAATTGGGAAATAACCTCTCTGGTTTCCTCCTGGAAGAGTCAAACCTAAACACACTAAATTCTGTTAATCAAGCGGGTTACACTGACTCTGTGTGTGCACGGGTATAGAGCTGTTGTAGGAGAGCTAAATCTTTGCATTTAGTTCTAAGCCCCGTGAGACCCCTAGTCCTTCAGATCTCTTGTGGCGGGGAGTTCCCCAGTCTAGGCCCGACCACTGTCTGAGTTCCATCTCCTGCACTCGCTGTACTAGTCGACTGTTTTCAGAGTTCCGGTGGAAATCTCTTCACTTATCCTCCCGCTGACTTTTGGTCTCCAAACAAAAATAGTTGCGAACGTTCTGTGCGGTCGTGACAATGTTTTTGTCATACACTGGCTGAGCATAACCTCACCCGTTGTCCCTGGATGTCCTCTGTCTGTCCAGGAAAGTAGAGCATCCGAGTTTGGATCAGCACCGCAAGAGACTAGACCTTTGCCTTCTGTTATGACATGGAACCCAAGGGCTGGGGAGCATCGTTTGCTAGGAGCTGGGGTAGCAGGGGAGTGTCAGAGATGGGCTGCATGGGCTTGGGAGATGGCAGAGGCTGGGGTGTGGGTGGGAAGGTGTGGTGGATGGGGAGGATTACAGGCCACGCACTGGCTTTGTTACCTGTATTATCAGGCTTTGTTCATCCCGCAGATTCTCCCTATTTATGGCAATGTCTTTCTCTCTTCACCAGGACTATCAGAATTTGCCGATTGACATCCAGACAAGCAAGCTGCTAGGTAGGATATTAGCTCCTGTCCCCACCTTCCAGCTGGAGAGGGAGGACGTTGTGGGAGAGGGGCACATGCTGGAGGGGGTGAGGGGTTAGGTGGGCCAGAGAATGGGCCGTCAGCGTGCGCACGAGTTTCCTTCCACCGTGAAGCTTGCGTCCTTCTGATTTCAGCAGGACTCAGGAATGAGGAGAGTTTGTCGTCATTTCTCCCGTTGGGATGAAACCCGGAGGAAGCGGAGCAGAGTTGCCCCCGTCACCACAGGCCTCATATAGATTAGTGGAGTCAGCGTATGGGTGGGGCGCTGGCTTGCGATTGGAGTCCTCCCTTGATCCCCCGAACGGGCTGGGTGCGGATCCCCTAGCACACTGACACGCCTCCTCCCTGCTCAGAGAAGTAAGAGAGAAGTTAGTTCATTCTTCGTCTCTCTCTGCTGAGACAGCCAGCAAGGAGTGGGGGGGGGGGAGCTTGTGATGCAGCCACCCCAGAGACCCTCCAGCTCAGAGGGGCTACTGGACAGCCGCCAGAGGGTAACGATGGCGTCTCGTCACTACCCATTTTGACCGCGTTTACAGCAGCTGCGTAGAGGTGAGGGACTCCCGTCCCTGAGCCAATGATTGGGAATCCCCCCCCCGCCCCAGCAGTGCCCTCCCTCTGCCGTCTCCCGGCTGCCCCTTGCTCCTGCTGGTGGACACCGAGGTGTTTAACCTCCGTGTGTCCCTGCTGCAGACTGGCTGGTGGACAGGAGACACTGCAACCTGAAATGGCAGAGCCACGTGCTGACTATCCGCGAGAAGATCAACGCGGCCATTCAGGACATGCCAGAGAGCGAGGAGATCAAGCAGCTGCTCTCGGGATCCTGTGAGTGGGGCTGGGGAGAGGAGGAGGATCTCCCTGATGCAGGCTTGGGTGCCAGCGTCTGAAGTGGGGGTGGCGGGTCCCATTAATGCAGGGGATTTGCCATGAAGGCCGTTTACGTGCGTGGGGCCTGGTCAGTCGCTTGGCATCCTGTGGCCCCACTGGCAGTTTGCTGCTGCGATCGAGGGTCGCGAGCGTGTCCATCCCAGAGCTGAGGGGCTTGTGTGTCCCCCTCTTTGCCCCCAGTCATCTCTCGCATGCACTAGGCCCATTGCAGATGCCAGAGGAATCCAGCCCCAAGGACTTCGGGTATTTCAAACATTCCTGTTTAGAAAGGAGACAGAAGCCCAGTGACACGTGCCCCCTTGCCCTGTTGCTGCGCCAGTGTACAGTGCGAAGGGCTGGAGCTTTGAACGGCAAACCTGGGAACCTCGCCCTTCTCCCCTCAGCCCCGGGTGACTGGGTATCGCATCCCGTCTGCCGTCCCAGCTCTCTGTCTCATTCCAGATATTCACTATTTTCACTGCCTGAGGATTGTGGACATTCTTAAAGGGACCGAGGCCTCCACTAAAAACATCTTTGGCCGCTACTCTTCCCAGCGGATGAAGGTGAGCAGCCCGTGGAGGCAGGCCCGGGCGGTCGGACTTGTCCAAGAATTTGCCAAGTTGGTTCCACTTTCAAGCAAGTCAGGCTGGGCTGGGCTGTTAGCGGGATGAATGGAGCCAGCGTCTCTAGGGTGCCGGTTCGAATCCAGCCTGAGTCTACAGCAATTAGAAGCTGTTGCTCTCTGGGGCCTGTACGGTGGCCCCTATGTGAAACGAGTGATAATAATAATCCCTATCTCTTATCTAGTGCTTTCCATCGGTATCATCAGCTCCATTGTACAGCTGGGGAAACCGAGGCACAGAACGGGGAAGTGATTTGCCCCAGGTGACTCAGCAGGCCTGTGGCAGAGCCAGGAATAGAACCCAGGTCTCTGAAGTCTCAGTCTGGAGCTGTGTCCACTAAGCCAGCCGGATGGGTGGATGCCGTCAGTTCAGTGCCCCATGTTAGAGGGTCCCTGGTGACTGCACCATTCCCAAGCACCGAACTCCCACGTCGCCACCAAGTGTGGCCGCGTGCCCTGCCCCTGCTTGTTCTTTGGCTCTCACGCTGCACGGGCCGACGCTCAGGGGCTTTGTGCTTCTCCGGCTTCATTGGGCATCTTCTCAGCCTCTCCCTTTTTCTGCTCTCCGTTCCAGGACTGGCAGGAGATCCTGTCCCTGTATGAAAAGGAAAACACCTACCTAGGTAAGGCAGCCTCACCTCACCGCATTGGGACGCGTAGGCGTTCGGCCACGGGCAGCCGCCTGCTTTCTTCCTGCCAGAGCTCGGGTGTGACTTGCTGGGGACGGCGTCTGCATGGCACGAGCTCACCTGTACTCCCAGCTCTCACACGCTGAGCCAGGTCCCTGCGTCCCGTCCCAGCCCCACTTCCCTTAGCCTTTTGCAGCCTGTATAAACGAGTCATTCACCCAGAGCCGAGGGGGGCACAGAAGCCATTCTGCACCGGCCGCACTGATCGTCTCAGCCGTGTCAGAACTAAGCCACATTGGCAGCATGTGTGTGTGCAGGGGGAGACCTGGCAGTGGTGGCGTGAGCACTGTGACCGTTCTGGCATAGAAGCTTTTGCTGTCCTGGCCCATTGCTCAGTACTGGAATTACACGTCCTTAAAGTGAGTGGTGGGGCTGGGGCGAATGGGTCAGCGCTCGGAGAGGGAATCCTCCTGCGCTTGGCCTGGCTTTCTGGGTAGGAAAGGTCCGTGCCCCAAATGTCTCCTCTCCTGTCTGTCCCTTCACCCCCTCCCTCGCAGTGGAACTCGCCAGCCTTCTCGTGCGCAACGTCAGCTACGAGATCCCGTCCCTGAAGAAGCAGATCAGCAAGTGCCAGCAGCTGCAGCAGGAGTACAGCCGCAAGGAGGAGGAGTGCCAGCTGGGGGCCGCCGAGATGCGGGAGCGCTTCTACAGCTCCTGCAAGCAGTACGGCATCACCGTGAGTCCCTCGCTGGGCCTGGGAGGGCCAGGCCTGCTCAGAGAATCTCAGGGCTGGAAGGGACCTCAGGAGGTCATCTAGTCCAACCCCCTGCTCAAAGCAGGACCAACCCCAACTAAATCATCCCAGCCAGGGCTTTGTCAAGCTGGGCCTTAAAAACCTCCAAGGAAGGAGATTCCATCACCTCCCTAGGTAACCCATTCCAGTGCTTCACCACCCTCCTAGTGAAATAGTGTTTCCTAATATCCAACCTAAACCTCCCCCACTGCAACTTGAGACCATTGCTCCTTGTTCTGTCATCTGACACCACTGAGAACAGTCTAGATCCATCCTCTTTGGAACCCCCTTTCAGGTAGTTGAAAGCAGCTATCAAATCCCCCCTCACTCTTCTCTTCTGCAGACTAAACAAGCCCAGTTCCCTCAGCCTCTCCTCATAAGTCATGTGCTCCAGCCCCCGCCGTGTGCTCCCCTGTGCCCAGGACGGGCTGGGCCTGCTCAGAGAGCATGGACACTGCCTTAGCCTCACACAGCACCCACCGTGTGCCCCCCTATCCTGGGAGGGGCCGGGCCTGCTCAGAGAGCATGGACGCTGCCTTAGCCTCACACAGCACCCGCCACGTGCCCGCCTGTGCCCGGGAGGGGCTGGGCCTCTCCTTTCCAAGAGGGTCCTAGCTCCCGCCACCTCTCCCCATCGCTTGGATCGCTGGGCCTTCAGTGCCCTCTGCTGTGACCCACCCCCGCGGTATTGGGACGCTCTCAGCACTGCACAGCCGTTCCTACCAGTGCCCTGAACAGCCCAGCCCCCCGGCTCTACCTCACCTGCCCGTCACCAATGGCTCGGCCCAGGAACCTCCCCGTTTCCAAACCTCGGGGCCTCGCCAGGACCCTGGGCGTGCCTTCCCCACACCCCTGGGAGGCTGTCTGAGCAGACGAGGGCCGGCTGTGGCTAGGAGGACACCTGCATTGGAAAGTGCCTCTCTTTCCCCCAAGTCCTGAGCTGGCTCCTTGCCCCCAGGCTGCTAGTGCCGGTTTGTGCCCGTGGAACTGCCCGTGCTGCCACTGCTCACCCCTGCAGATCCACTGGGCTCCGGTTCCCCTACCTCTCGTCCACTCGCTCCTGCCTGTTCTGCGCTCCAGCAGCTGAGCGTCTGCGCCGGGGGCTGTCCCCCGGCAACCCCACCCCAGCTCCCTCTGGCTCCATTGGTGGTCTCCTGCCCTTAAGCCAGCTTGCGTTCCAGCATTCTCCAGGGCTCCTTCCTCCACCCATTGCTCTTTGCTGGGATCAGATGCTCCATCCCCCCAGCCTGGCAGCCCAAGCTAGCCCCGTGGTTTGGCTGGGGGGAGGCTGATGGCCTGAGTACCCGGGTCCCTGCTCTAACGCGCCCCTGCTCGTTCTCGCTGTGCAGGGCGATAACGTGCGCCGGGAGCTGCTGGCCTTGGTGAAGGACCTGCCGGCGCTGCTGACGGAGATCGGGGCCGGGGCCCGGGTGCTCTCGGAAGCCATCGATTCGTACCAGGCCTGTGTGCAGTTCGTGTGTGAGAGGTAACCAGACACCTGCCTGGGGAAGGCCCCGCAGAGACTGGGTCCCTCTCTCCCCCAATTCGAGCAGGAGTTGATCCTCTGCTTCGGTACTCGAATCCGGGACAGCATGGAGGTGTTAACGGTGCTGGGCTGGGTAGCCCCAGATCCGGGCATGGTAGGGGGCAGGCAGGCCAGGTGTGCAGAGCCCCTGAGAGGGAAGAGGATGCTGGGGCTTTCTTCTGCTCCAGGGTGTCTTTTTCCTCCCTCCCCCATCCTGCGGATAAGTGGTTTCTGGAGGTCTAACCCCTCCCCTGGTTTCACACCCACCTTTGCTGCTCGGTTTCCCAGCTGAGATCTGCCTGTGGAATTAGCTGATTGTGGAAGCCCTGGGCTTTTCCTTGCTGTTTGGGCACATCTTTAAATACCCCCGGCAGTGCCGGGCTCAGTCCCGGACGTTCTCAGCAGGAGCGCGCTGCCTGGTTTGCTGCCTCCTCGGCGACTCTCCGAGTTCCCCCATCCCTCCTGGGCGGGGGGAGTCAGAGACCGTAATAAGCCTGGTTTAAATCCAGCTAAGGAGAAAGGTGGCTGTAAATTGCCATCCCTGGGCTCTATGTTCCCCCTCTCTGAGCCGCCCACGTCCAGCCGGTGCCATTGCTGGGAGAAGGGGTCGTTATCTCCGTGCCGGAGAGTCGAGCTGGGTCCTTGCTGCTGCTCCTGGCAGCCGCCGTCAGGGAGATTCCCCGGTCACAGCTGATGCAGACTCCACAGCCTGCTCCCCCGTACCCCCGTGGCACTGTGTGCATCGGTGCAGCTGGCAGGAGCAGAGCCGGGGGGAGGCAGAAGGGATCCCAGTGCCCTGACGCTGCCCTGGCCCTGTCGTGTGTTCCAGCGCCACGGAGCAGGTGGTGCCCATGCTGCGACACGTGCAGGAGCGCGGGAACTCGACCGTCTACGAGTGGAGGAGGGGGGTGGAGCCCACCATGGTGGAGCGCCCACGGGCGGAGGAGGTGCCCGAGCAGCAGGACGAGGAGGCGGTAGGTGCCGGCCGGGCTGCCATCGAATGGAAGAGAATATGGCCCAAGGGGGGGCCCGAGTCTAAATGCCCCGTGGGCCTTGCATGGGACAGAGGCAGTGGGGCAGGCACAATGAATTGACCCAAACTCAACCCAGTCTTTCCTGATTGGCTTATTCTCATTGGCTGGTGGGGCTGGGAGCATCACGTCTGAAACACCCGGATTCCGAGGTTCAGTTCCCAGCAAGGCCGACTCAACCCTGCATCTTCCCCAGGGAGAGAAGTTGAGTCCCAGAGGACTCTGGCAGGCAGAGACCTGAGAAAACTAGGTCCCCTCTGCTCTGCATGGGGCTCACAGGTCCTGGGGTTTGCTCCTGGGTCCTTGGCCAGAATGTTCCCTCCCCTCCGTGCTATAGACTGCGCTGGGCGCTGGTTCTGCCCCAGAGGTGGCTGCATTTCTTTGCTGGGAGAAGGAATCCCTAGCGCTTGGGGTCCTTCAGTGCAGTGTAAACATACAGGATCACCCTCCACCCTGCGCTTTCCAGCGCCGCCTGGTCATGCCGCGGTACCACGAGAACCGGCTGCTCCTCCGGGATTTCTGGCATGATTTGCGGCCTCCCGTAGAGCACCTGAAACAAGCGTCTGAGGGTCACCCCTGGCTTGTGTGAAGGGGACGCTGGTCTGCCAGGCGCTTGGGCAGCATCTTCCAGAGCGAGCCGGGGAAGCGCCTGGGGGTCCAGAGCAGCAAGAGGAGAGGTGTCTCCATGGGCCATGGAGCTGCCAGCTAGAGAGAGCACAAGGGTTGACAGCTCCAGGCTCTCCCAGCCTGGTGCCGGTTAGAGCTCCTCTCTCGGGGGGCGTCTTGCTCTTCTCATTGCAGATCGACTGGGGGGACTTAGGGGTGGAGTCCACACCTGCCCCCGTGGGGGTTGATTACAGCATCTCCGGGGAAGACGGAGCCCAGGCCGAGGAGGTGGACTGGGGGATCTCACTGGAACCTGACCCCCAGGTGGGTGTGTGCTGTACCCCTCTTCCCCCTGCTGGGCATCCACCGGCCAGGCAGCTACTCACCCTGTGGGGACACAGCCGTGCTGCGCAGTACAGGCTGGATCCGGTCTGGCTGGGACCCTGGGGGAAGGTGTAGACTGAAGGCAATGTGGCCTAGTGGCTAGAGCGCTGGACTGGGGCTCAGACCTGGGTTCCATTCCCAGCGCTGCCACCGGCCCCGCTGAGTGAGTTCCCACCCCATGCCTCAGTTTCCCCATCTGTAAAACGGGGATGGGCCTATGTAAAGTGCTAGCTCTTGGCTGCTTCTCTCTCGAGGCGAGGGCAGCTCAGGGCTCCCACCCTGGGGGCGGCGCTATGGGGCAGAGCGCCTGTTCTTACAGGAGGCTGCCTTTGACTCACTGCAGGGAGCCGGCACTGACGGGATAGACTGGGGAGACGGGAGTGGCGGTGACCCGGTGCAGATCACAGTGCTGGAGGCTGGCATCCAGGGTAAGGTCCTTCTCCTCTGCCTCTCCGCAGCCCCGGGGCGGCTGGCAGTGTCGGGCAGTTGAGCACAGTGGGTGGCTGGTATGGGGACAGGGCGGGAAATGTCCTTGGGAACCGTGCAGCCGGGATCGTAACCTCTGCCACCCTCCAGTGCCTGTCTGTGGCCTTCTCCTTCCCAGTCTCTAACCTGAGCCGATAGTGGCCTCAGAGACGCTGTCACACTGGGGTGCGGGCTGACTCCCTGGCGGAGCTGGGGGGTGATGTGGCTGGCAAGGCTTGGTGGGGGGAATTTTGCTCGGAAGGGACAGGGCGGTGGGAGCTGAGGTTCCCAAGTGAGTCGAGCCAGCAGAGCTCTTCCTGGGGTGGGGGAAGGGAGTCAGGCCCCTGGCACGGCCAGCTGGGCACACCTGGCACCTGAGTGGAGTTAGCACCTGAATGAACATCAGGCAGCCACTAGAGGGCGCCGGGGGATGGCACTTCCTACCTCAGGCAGGGGGTTCGCATTGGCTTTGAATGCAGAGGGATGCCAGGTCTGGAAGGAGGCCGGCTGCTCCCCTGGGGACTTTGCCAGGGCGGCTGGGCCCAGCGCTCTGCGCACCAGGCCGGTCTTGCTGGGCGGCTGCCCCAGGAAAGCATGCGGAGCTCTATGGTGAGGGGCAGTGACTTGAGGCGATCTGGTGCCCGGCGGGGAGCCCGCCCAGACCCTCCGCGGCTGCTCAGTGAGGTCTCCCCCTGCTCCTCTTCCCAGCATCCCCTACCCCGTGTGCTTCTCCTGTTCAGTCCCAGATGGAGTCGCCCGAGGGCCTGATGCTCTGACCCTCCTGGAGAGCCCGGAGACCCGGAACCAGTTCATCGACGAGCTGATGGAGGTATCCTGGGACAGGGCTTAGCACACACTAAGGAATTAAGGGGGAGTGGGGTATGTTGCTTATCCCCCTTATACACCTGGGTAAACTGAATCACGGCACAGCCTAAGACATGCTGCCTCAATGGCGAAGCCTGGAATAGAACCCAGGAGTCCTGCGTTCCAGACCTCCTTGTTCTGACGGTTGGACCCCCAGAGCTGGGAACAGAACCCAGCAATCCAAACTCCTGATCATTTGGCCCCCTCGCCTCCACCCGCTCTAACCGCTAGCCCCCGATTCACAAACGTAGCGAGAGGCTATTCCGGCTGGCTGGGTACTTGAGTGAACATCTGGAGCTTTGAAGGGCGTTAGAGAGCTCACAGCAGCACGTTCATACCCCTGATCCGGACTGGAATCTAGGCAGCCGGCACCGGGGTGCTCTCTGGCACCTCGTGGACTTCATGCCAGGGCAGCTGAAGCAGGAGGGCTGCCAGTCTGTGCGTCCCCCCAGGGGGGTAGGGCACTACCCCCTTCCCTTTGAGCACGGGCACTGCCGCACATGGGCTCCCCTTGGCGAGGGCGGCCTGCAGCCGCCCAGCACAGCTCAAAAGCCTGACGTTGGGGTTCATGACAGTAGTGGAGCCGACACCCCAAAGCCTGGTCCCTGGCTGGGCGCCAGAGAAACCCGGCAGGCAGCGAAGGGCCCTCTTTCCTGGGAGCTCTGCATGGCACCTGCGTCCAAAGGATTTCTGCCTCTCTAGGGAGCGCTGAGCCGGCTCACGGGAGGGAAGGGGCCCCGTGTCCGGGCCCTTTCACTCCCGCCTGGGCTGCAGGAGCGCCGTGTTCTCCAAGGGGCAGAAGGGGTTTTAAAGGGCCATGCTCCACGTACGGTGGGGTGTCCACGCCTGCTCCCCACCCTGTGCCTCCCCTTCCCTCCCCAGCTGGAGACCTTCCTGTCCCAGCGCATCATGGAAATGAGCGAAGAGGCCGACGTGGTGTCAGTGAGCCAGTTCCAGCTGGCCCCGCCCATCCTGCAGGGCCAGACCACACACAAGGTGGACGCCATGGTGTCGGCTGTCCGGGAGCTGATCGGCCGGCTGACCAACCTGCGGATGCAGCACCTGTTCCTGATCCTGGCCTCCCCAAGGTGCGTGGGGGGGCCCCCTCCTCTCTCCCAGCCTGCTGTGTAGGGGGGGGACCCCCTTCCTTCCTGTGGGGGTGGGGAGGTTTGTCCTCGAGGGAGGAGACCCTAGGATCGGGGTGACAGAGTGAATTGACGGAGCTAGCTCTGGGCCTTTGCAGAGCCAGCCCCTGGGGGTGGGGGCGGAGGGACGGTGGTCTTGGTGGGTGTTGATGGCGCACCTGGGTCTCGTGGGGCAGGTACGTGGACCGGGTGAGCGAGCTCCTGCGCCAGAAGCTGAAGCAGGCGGAGCTGCTGGTGCTGAAGAAGGAGCTCACGGCGCAGAAGAGGCAGGAGGCGCTGGAGGAGCAGGGGACCCTCGAGCCCAAACTCGACCTGCTGGTGCAGAAAACCAAGGAGCTGCAGAAACTAGTAAGAAATGGGGAAGGGCCCACGGTGCCCCTGGTCAGATCTCACCCCTGTGATGCAGGGCCCCTGGTCAGATCTCACCCGCACGACATCCCCCTCCCTGTGATGCGGGGCTCCCCGAATCAGAGGCTGCCCGCATGGTGCCCCCTTTCTTTCCCATGTAGCCGCAGGCCCCTGACTTTGATTTCATGCACGACAGCCCCCAGCCTGCGTAACTCAGGCTTCGTTGTCTTGAGCATTTCCGCCCCCTCCGTGGAGTCCCTGCTCCCCCCCGTCATAGAATCATAGAATATCAGGGTTGGAAGGGACCTCAGGAGGTATCTAGTCCAACCCCCTGCTCAAAGCAGGACCAATCCCCAGATAGATTTTTACCCCCGTTCCCTAACTGGCGCCCTCAAGGATTGAACTCACAACCACTGAGCTATCCCTCCCCCCCCAAGTCATCCTTGGAGGGGGCTCCCTCTCCCCCAGTAACCTCACCCCGGGCCTGAGCCTGTGCCCTGTCTTTCAGATTGAAACGGACATTTCCAAACGGTACAGCGGGCGCCCTGTGAATCTGATGGGCACCTCCCTGTGACCCCCTCCACGGCGACGCAGCCCCCTACGGAGCCGGGGTCCCCCAGAGGGACAGGACAGAGGAGGCTTCCCCGGGGCTCTGCTAACCAGGACTTGCTCACGTTGTAAGGAGCAGATGTGTACGGGGGGGCAGGCTGCCAACTGCGGCTCTTGCCCTTTCCAGGGGCTCCAGGCAGCCGGGAGGGAATTGCTCAATAAAGCTGGGGGAGCTGCTCCATCCCCACCCTGCTCCTCTCACGCCCCGATTCCTCTGGCCCAGCCTGCAATATCTCTCACTGGGACGCTGGCCCCTCTCCTCCCTCCCCTGTGTGTCTGACCAGAACACTGATTCCTCCCCCTGCCTCACAGGGACCCTGATCCCTGCCCCGCAGGAAGATTGTCACCGGGTGGGGCCCTAGAGGCTTGTGTTCCCTCCCCACCACAGGGATTGGCCCAGCGCCCGGGGATCTGAGCCAGGGTCAGGCGAGCAGCGGGGCTGCCAGCAGGAGCCCTGCTTTCCCCCGGCCCGGCGCCCTTCCATCCAGCCACTGCCAATGCTTTACCTGGCTGCCTGTTATCAAGACAGCTCCCAGCCCCGGCCTGCGGCGCCCCGCTGGCCATGCAGAGGCTGGCAGTGCTGTGAAATGCCCCCCACCGGCATGCTGGGAACTGCCTCTGCTCCCAAGGGGCCCCTCAGCACCTTGCTCCAGGCTGGGCCCTGCCCCCCTTCCAGCTCCCGGGCGGCTTTTGGGGTGAGGGTTGGGGGTGATTCAATTTTAATTTCATAGCAGAGCAGTTGATTCATGGCGCTTTGTCGCCGGCGTTGACTCCCGTAATGACTTTCCATCAAAATGAAAAGTGGAGTGACACCGCTCATTATTCCGGCTGCTTGTTATCTCAGTCGTGGGGAGGGCCGCCCCCTCCCCGCTGCCTTTCAGCCGGCCCGGACAGTGAGTGATGGCCCCTATTAATCACCGACCCCGCGGACTCCGGCGGACACACGCTATCCGCAGGAGAAGGGGGAGAGAGATAAGGCACCGGCAACCGCTCCGATCAATTAACGTCAAGCGGCGTCACCCCTCCCAGCCCCTCAGCCTCACCCCTTTCGGGGGGCGGTGATGGGAGATGGGCAAGGGACAGGAGAGGAGTATTTGCGCCTCCTGGACTGATTGGATTCCCTCTGTCGGGGGAGCCCCCACCCCCAGTCCTTGCCAGCCCTCAAAGCCAGCTCCGTGCTGGGGTTGGAAGGCCTATAACCCCCTCATGGCACATCAGCCAGTGGAGGGCACCCCGTGGAAGCCACAGACCACTGATCCAATCCCGTCTGCTGTCCCGCCTCCTGTCCCTCCTCACCAGCCCATTGGTCCCATTTCATCCTCCATCCCGCCTCCAGCGTTGACCTGGATGCTACCTGGAGTTTCAAAAGAAACCGCCTCCAATCCCCAATCCTCCCCCCGCTCTCTGCTCAGCTCCTGCTGTGCCCTCCCGCGGGGAGGGAAGGGTCCACCTGACCTGTGGCAGTGATGGGGATAGCGCCCACTACATGCTCAGAGCTTTGCAGTTGGAGAGGAAGAGGTCGCCCTGCCCCAAGGAGTTCCCCGTGTGAACAGCCGGGGTGGGAGAAGGGATGCAGCCCACCAGCAGAGAAATCTGGGCAGGTGGGGATCTGGGCAGCAACTTGGCTCCAGGTTGGTTTGGAGGTGGGGAGAGGCGGGTGATGGGGTAGAAAGAGACAAGGGGTGAGGGAGGGGCATTGTGCCAGGCGCAGCGTGAATGTCCAGGTGTAGATGCCGACGCAGCTGGGCCGGTTAGTGCCCGTGGGTTGGTGTGGCATGGGGCGAAGCCGAGCTAGCAGGAGAGAGGCCTGGCATTGCCGTGAGCAGTGAGGGGGAACTGGAGACTGAGGGCTCTGCATCCACGGCTGTTGTGGGACTCCCTGGGGGAGGAGAGAGCATTAGGGGCATCCCGCTGCCGCCACCCCAACATAGGGAATCCACTGGGCCTGGCACAGCTGCCGCCTGGCAGTAGGGTGTCCTGGCGGGCCCCTGCTGGTCTTGCCGCTGGAGCGTGCCTGACCCAAGCAGGGAGCAATCACCTAGACCCTGCAGCAGCAGGCTTAGGGCCCCTTGTGGCTTTATAACATAATGTTGGTGATATTGCCTACGGCCTGGGCCCACAGCCCATGTGTTCAGTGGACAACGAGGCCAGCCCTTGGTGAGCTACTGTTGTGGACAGACGCTGCCCATCTCCATTACGGCCCGTCAGCTCTGCCCCGGCACCGCCACACAGGCAGGGTCCCCTCCGCAGCTCGGGAGGCAGGCGGAGAGCTTGTCAGCTGTTCGCCTGAATGAATCCAGGGGCAGGGAGTTCTCCCGGTTAACGATGCAGCTTTGCCCCACGCAGCAGCTTGGGCAGGGATGGTCCCACGCGTGGTGCGGTTCGACGGGGGCAGACGCTGAGTGGAGCGGACGTTGAGCGGAGCTTTCTGTTGATTTCAGATGTGGGCTTTCAGTGCCCTTTGCTGGCATCCCTTGTTCTACAGGGCAGCCGCCTATCCCCTTCCCTTCCCCCCAGCACCAGCCAGAGGGCTCAGCAACGCAGGGCAGCTCTGTGTACCTGAGAGTGGAGCAGTGTCTGGCTCTGTCAGCCCCACTCTTTTCAGTGACCCTGACCCCCGGCTGACGGGAGCGCCCCCTAAGAACACCGGGGGGGGCCCGTCCACTCTTCACGCTCGCTCAGTGTTTGCCTAGTTGTGGCCCCAGGCGCTAGGTGCTGTGCAAAGACCAGGCAGGCCCTGCCCCAGAGAGCGCCCAGTCTCGGTCACAGGGTCTCCGACTTTCCTCCCAAGGCCCTTCGTCCACCCCAGATGCACCTTGCCGGGACAAGAGGGACACCGAGGAGCCATCTCAGGTGCTTTGGGCTCCGGCAGGGTGGAAGGGGAGCCCCTCCCCCAGTGCCCGTCCCCCCTGCCCTGGGGGTGGCTCCCTCTGGAGGTTGCGTTCTACGGGGTGAAGCTAGAGCTGGGTGGAGGGGCTGGATCGAGGGCCCTGGATCCACCCGCAGGGCAAACCCTCCCACTGAGCCGCCAGGGGGGAGCGGGGCCATCTGCCTCCATAGCCTGGGCTGCCCTCCGCAGGGGCTGCTGTCTAACCAGGAACCGGACTGAGCCTCCTCCACTTGGCTCTCTGCTTCCCCAGCCTGGGTTTGACCCGGCGACCTGCGGGTGATAAGGCTGCAGCCCAGACACCGGAAACTCATCTGCGTGCGGTAGCTCCCCATCCTGCTCCCAGGCCTGGCATCGGGCGGCGATTACTGCACCGCTCGAGGGGCAGTGGCTGTGGGTGGGGGACCCTCACCCTGAGGACGCCTCCTCCCCACATCCCCCCGTGGGAACCTGCAGAGGCTGCGGACTCCACCTCAGAAGGCCCCAGCGAGATTGGGCCCATCCCTCACCCAGCCAGGAGGGGTCCCTGCCGAGCAGGCTGCTCCTGGATGGAATGAGCCCAACCTCTGCCCTCGCCAGCCCCTCTCGGCCCAGCTCAGCCAGCCTTGCGGGCCTGATCCCCCCCCAGTACCCACCCCTGTCAGCCTGCTCTGTGTCTGAGTCCGCTCCCGGGGGACCCCAGCCCTGCATTCCTGTGGATCCAAACGACCCCCTGCCTAGTGCTCCCAGCCGGGCGCTAGCAGGGTCAGCTGAGGCTGGCAGCTGGGACGGGGGGGGGGTCCCACGTGACCCTTCCCCCTGGGAGAGAGACTCCCCCACACTGAGCTGATGGAGCACTTCTGGGTGGGAGCTATTCTCTGGCTGGAGCCTCCCCTGCCTCCTCCCCCCATCCCACTGCCCTACCTTAGCATGGCAGAGATGCCCCCAGCCTGCCAGATGCCCTAGCAGAGCTGGGCAGGCTCGCTATGCCCTGCCTGGCCTCCCTGCCCCATTGCCCCTCCGCCCCATCTCTGCCCGGTCCCCATTTGAAATCAACATGGGTGAAATATTTAAACTTCTCCGGCGTGTCTAATCCAAAGTTCTGGGCTATTTCCCACCTTGGCGATCCATTAACGTCGCCCCACTGCCCTGGCCCCCCGCGCCGCCTCCCCCCCCAAAACCCCCCGCGCCGCGAACCCATTTGTCAAACGCTGCCGCAGGCTGCGCTTGGCTGTGTCTGAAAGGACGAGGCGCCGCTGCAGGGGAAGGTGAAGATGAATAAAGGGGCTATGCAAATTGCTGCTTAATCTGCAGAGAAACACCCAGGCTTGGGGGAGACTCTCATTACTCCTCGTAACTGTGATTAACGGACGAATTAAACGGCGCCCGTAACCCGTTCCTGGCCAGGGGAGCGAAGGCCCCAACTCCCTGCCCGGTGCCAGGAGAAGGAGATGGCAGCGAAGCCAGGTGGAGCCCCTTCCTGCATCGGGAGGGGGCTTCTGCTCCGGGGGGCAGTGGGTGCCGGAGAGGGGCAGATCAACACTTGTCTCCCAACCCGCTGTATGCAGGGGGGGCAGAAGCTACTTGTGAATTGGGGGCAGCCAGAGGGTCGTGAGGGAGGGAGAAGGAGCCACCTTCAGGCTGGGAACAGGGTCCTGGGGGTTCCTAGCTGCTCCCTGGCCTACTCCAGACCCCGTCTCTGCTCTGATCCCGGCCCCGCTCTCATCGCCAGCTCCCTCCCGGGCATGTATGAGTTTATCCAGGAGCAGAGCCTGGCACTAGTCCCCTCCCATCTCCCCCACCCCCGGTGGTTGGGGCTGCAGTAATGAGGCTGTTGTGTGTATTCCAGTAGCACCTGGCAGCCCCAGCTGAGATCCGTGCCCTGGCGTGCACGGTGCTGTACAGAGGCAGTCCCTGCCCTGAAGAGATGAGCTAGGAGCATCGTTTGGCCACTTTTATCCAGCTGGGGAAATGAGGCCCCAAGGGGTGGGGTGACCCACCCAAGGTCACCCGGCAGAGTTGGGACTAGACCCCAGAAGTCCTGGCTCCCGATCCTGAGCTGGGTGCGCCATTCTCCTCTGCCAAGGCGCGGGCGCTCTGGGCGTGCCCCATGGCATGGGGATGGGTAGCGTTCCGGGGAGATAGTTGGAGGGGCCATTAGCCAGAGGCAGCCTGCAGCCCTCCCTTGCTTTGCAGCCCGGCTTTAGGCTCTGGCATGTTTATAAGGGCCCCGGGGAGGTAAGTGAGATGCGCAGGCAGCGGGCACGTGACAGCCCGAGCAGGGGGCTGAACAGCCCTGCTCCCCCCCCCTTTTGCACTAAGGTGGGGGCCATCCCCAGGTGGGCTGCCCTGACCGACGCCCCGGTGATGAGCAAGAAGGTGCTGTCCCCGGGGGCGGGGGGTTGGAATGCCTGGCCATCGGCAGGGGGATCCGCGCCCCCTGTGCCAAGGGCCTGGGTGCCCCGGGGAGCGAGGCGGGCAGGCGGCGGGTGCCAGGGGATGAGATGACAGACGGTGCTGACGGACGGTCCATCAAAGTGGAGAGGAAGAGGCAGGATTCGGTCCCATCTTTTATGGTGTCACTTGGGGGGGGGGGAGCCTGTCACAGAAAGCAGGGCTGATGGCTCAGCCGGGCCACCCCCATCGCCCCGATCTACTCGCACAGACCCAGCTGGCGTGGCTATTAAACGCCTTCGTCCGTCCCCCTTAAAACACCCAGTGCGAGGGGAGAGACGCAGCAGGCGTATCCTCGGCCCTTCCCTCCCCAGTGCAGCCAGGGCCTGGCCCCACTCAGGTGGATGCAACGGGTGAGTCCAGTGCTCCCATTCTCCCTCCAGTATTGGGGCAGGAACCAGCCCCGTTCCCTACATACACACACGTTCCCTGCTGCAGTATCGAGGTGGGAGATGGTCCAATTCCCTCCCTCCCCCTCCAGTATTTGGGCAGGGGCC